TTGTGGCGCAGCTGGCTGAGTGTCAGCTGCATTAAGATCACTCTGACCAAAAGGTCATGAGTTCGAAGCCAGCCTGGGTTGGAGTGGGTTTCCAACCAATTGTGTAGCCTGTTGCCAACCTTTGCAACCCGAAAGACAGTTGCATCTGTCAAGTAGGAAAATTAGGATCCGTCATTATGGTCCACACGTGCATAATGGTCCACCAAGTGTAGTTAAATACGTCTTGGTCCATCCTGTAACCTTTGCCAAGTGGTTACAGAATTTTTGTAGGCCTTTAATGAATGTGATGATTAAAGGATTGGTAATATGGACGACGAAACTGGATCACGATTTTAGTCAGGAGATGCATTGGATTGTTATTGATGTACCAATATTGTGTATTATGTTTTTATGGTTTTAAATTGTATACTGTTGACTATTGTATTTGGTATTTTGTTGTAAACCGCGTTGAGTCGCCAGCTAGGCTGAGAAACAGCGGTATACAAGTACAGTAAATAAATAAATAAATAAATAATACCACCTTAAAGTGTGGGAAGACTAAATTTGAGGTCATTAAAAAAAAAGACTCTAGCAAAAGCATGCGGGGAATGCGGAAGCACTTCATCAGTGTCGCAAATGGATGATGAAAGCGACAGCTCCCCCGACGGCCAGAAAAAGTTAAATAGCCTCTGTGTATGTCTGTATATGTTTGCATGTCAAAAATTGGCATTGAATGTTTGCCATATATGTATACACTGTAATCCGCCCTGAGTCCCCTGCGTGGTGAGAAGGGCGGAATATAAAAGCTGTAAATAAATAAATAAATAAATAAAACAGTGGTTCTCAATCTGTGAGTCTCCAGATGTTTTGGCCTACAACTCCCAGAAATCCCAACCAGTTTACCAGCTGTTAGGATTTGCATTGAATGTTTATCTTGAAAATCGCCCTGAATTCCTTTGGGGAGATAGAGCAGAATATAAATAGAGTATTATTATTATTATTATTATTATTATTATTATTATTATTTCTGCGAGTTGAAGGCCAAAACATCTGGGGACCCACAAGTTGAGAACCACTGATCTAAAGCATCCCTATCACCAGGCCTCTCACTCTGGAAAAGAGAAGGCAAGTTCAACATGTGTTTATACATTAAACCAAACAGATGCAAACTCTATTTAGGCATATGTTTGAATGCACGTAAAGCTACAACCAGCTCCATTGGCTTCAGTTTATCTTCTAGTCCCAATTCAAGGTACAGGTTCTTACCTACAAAGCCCTAAACGGTTTGGGACCCACCTACTTTCATGACCGTATCTCTCTTCATGAACCAGCCCGAACCCTTCGATCTTCTGGTGAGGCCCTCCTTTCGCCCTTGCCAGTTTCTCAGACTCACCTTGTGGGTACAAGGAGAGAGAGCCTTCTCCTGTGGCCCCCCGACTCAGGAATTCATTGCCCAGAGAGATTAGGAAGGCCCCTACGTTAGAAACCTTTAAAAAGAATCTTAAGACCTGGCTCTGCCATTGTGCTTTTGGAGAGTAGCCACATAACCTTATGCTAGTGCTTCCTCAACATTCTTGTCCCAGGAGTCCCCCGTCCCCCCAATGTACAAATGTTTGATAATTTTCCTCTCTCTCTCTGAGTTCTCTCTTACGATTAGTTCTGCCCCCTTATCTCACCCGGAGTTTTTAAATCATTTTATGTACATGCGGCCCGCTCTCTGTCATTATGTTTGGTTCCTATCTCCTGTGTATATTGTTCTATATGTTTTGATGTTTTACATTTTAATGTTATGTTGTTTATTTTACTGCAATTTGTATTGTTATTTTGTAGTTTGTTGTTCGGGCTTGGTGGGATATAGATTATTATTATTATTACTAGCTGTCCCCTGCCACGCATTGCTGTGGCCCAGTCTGGTGATCTGGAAAATAAAGTAATGAGAAAGTGTTGGTTTCTAATATATGTAATTCCTTTATGCTTGTGAGTAAACAGTATTTCTTGTTGTTTCTTTGTCAGTGTTGATGTGGAGAGTGTCTGGTTTGCGTACTCTGGAACATGCAACATATCATAGTCCTTCTTTAAGGGTCTCTTTCAAATCTGTGATACTATATCTGTGTGTGTTTGAGAGAGAATTATATCTATCTATCTATCTATATTTGTCAGGAGGGTTTGTCAGGAGGGTTTGGATGACATTTTCTTGCCCTGGTGAAGAGTTGGACTGGATGGCCTTAAGTATTTTCTGTTGGTCATGGGGGTTCTGTGTGGGAAGTTTGCCCCATTTCTGTCGTTTGTGGGTTTCAGAATGCTCTTTAATTGTAGTGAACTATAAATCCCAGTAACTACAAATCCCAAATGTCAAGGTCTATTTCCCCCAAAACTCCATCTGTGTTCATATTTAGGCATATGGAAATTTTGTGTCAAGTTTGGTCCAGATCCATCATTGTTTGAGTCCACAGTGCTCTCTGGATGTAGGTGAACTACAACTCCCAAACTCAAGGTCAATGCCCACCAAAACCTTCCAGTGTGTTCTGTTGGTCATGGAAGTCCTGTATGCCATGTTTGGTTCAATTCCATCATTGGTGGAGTTCAGAATGCTCTTTGATTGTAGGTGAACTATAAATCCCAGTAACTACAACTCCCAAATGTCAAGGTCTATTTCTCCCCAAACTCCATCTGTGTTCATATTTGGGCATATGGAATATTAATGCCAAGTTTGATCCAGATCCATCATTGTTTGAGTCCACAGTGCTCTCTGGATGTAGGTGAACTACAACTCCCAAACTCAAGGTCAATGTCCACCAAACCCTTCCAGTTTTTCTGTTGGTCATGGGAGCCCTGTGTGCTAAGTTTGGCCCAATTCCATCATTGGTGGAGTTCAGAATGCTCTTTGATTGTAGGTAAACTATAAATCCCAGCAACAAGAATTCCCAAATGACAAAATCAATTTTTTTGAGTGGAGGACATACATTGGGTTGTTAGGTGTTTTGTGTCCAAATTTGGTATCAATTCCCCCAGTGGTTTTTGAGTTCTGATGGTATCACAAACGAACATTACATTTTTATTTATATAGATTATCATCATCATCATCATCATCATCATGGCAGCTTTGCACCCAGTGGTGGTGACTTTTGCACTTGTTGTTGTTCATTCGTTCAGTCGTCTCCGACTCTTCGTGACCTCATGGACCAGCCCACGCCAGAGCTCCCTGTCGGCCGTTACAACCCCCAGCTCCCTCAAGGTCAGTCCAGTCACTTCAAGGATGCCATCCATCCATCTTGCCCTTGGTCGGCCCCTCTTCCTTTTGCCTTCCACTTTCCCCAGCATAATTGTCTTCTCTAGGCTTTCCTGTCTCCTCATGATATGACCAAAGTACTTCAACTTTGTCTCTAGTATCTTTCCCTCCAGTGAGCAGTCGGGCTTTATTTCCTGGAGGATGGACTGGTTGGATCTTCTCGCAGTCCAAGGCACTCTCAGAACTTTCCTCCAACACCACAGCTCAAAAGCATCGATCTTCCTTCACTCAGCCTTCCCTAAGGTCCAGCTCTCACATCCGTAGGTTACTACAGGGAATACCATGGCTTTTACTAGGCGGATCTTTGTTTGCCAGTCTGATGTCTCTACTCTTCACTATTTTATCGAGATTGGACATTGCTCTCCTCCCAAGAAGTAAGCGACTTCTGATTTCCTGGCTGCAGTCTGCATCTGCAGTAATCTTTGCACCTAGAAATACAAAGTCTGTCACGGCCTCCACGTTTTCTCCCTCTATTTTCCAGTTGTCAATCATTCTTGTTGCCATAATCTTGGTTTTTTTTTTTATGTTTAGCTGCAACCCAGCTTTTGCGCTTTCTTCTTTCACCTTGATTAGAAGGCTCCTCAGCTCCTCCTCGCTTTCGGCCATCAGAGTGGTGTCATCTGCATATCTGAGGTTGATGTTTCTTCCAGCAATTTTCACCCCAGCCTTGCATTCATCAAGCCCCGCACATCGCATGATGTGTTCTGCATACAAGTTAAAAAGGTTGGGTGAGAGTATGCAGCCTTGCCGTACGCCTTTCCCAATCTTGAACCAGTCTGTTGTTCCATGGTCAGTTCTTACTGTTGCTACTTGGTCCTTATACAGATTCCTCAGGAGAGAGAAAAGGTGATTTGTTATCCCCATACCACCAAGAACTTGCCACAATGTATTATGATCCACACAGTCAAAGGCTTTCAAATAGTCAATGAAACATAAATAGATGTTTTTTCTGAAACTCCCTGCCTTTCTCCATTATCCAGCGGATATTGGCAATCTGGTCTCTTGTTCCTCTGCCTTTTCTAAACCCAGCTTGAACATCTGGCAACTCTCGCTCCATGTACTGGAGCAATTATTCCATTCAGGGCTTTAGTATGAATTTTAAAGGAACCATCTAACATTTTGGATCGGGTGAGGTTCAGCAATTTGGATAGTACCAACTGAAACTTAAGAGGGAATTATTATTCCACTGACACTGAAGTCACCAGACACTGCTGCTTTCCAAATTTTTGCATGTAGAGCATGAAAGACTGAATGGGGCTTCACTATTACATAAAACCAAAAATAGTTCACATGATTGGAAAGGGAAGCCATCCTTGTTATGGCCTCTAGTCATGGACACTCTGTAATTGCATTTAACTGAATGTAGTCACAAAGACCTTTTCAGATCTTAAGCTTGAGAAACTGTCAAGCATCCTGTGACTTCTGAGGATAGGCTCACATCCATGCCTCCAGTGTAGCCAAATGCTTTAGCAGGAAATGCCTGCATGTGGCTCTAGAAAGGCCCTATACATGTGTTCCACCATTTGGTAGCTCAGCAAGAAAATATCAAAAAGAAAAAAAGGAAGATTTTTTTTTCTCCCAGCAAGAAGGCCAAAGAAATTTCCCTCTGTGTTGTGCCACTATTTTGGCTGGAACCTGGTGTGGTAAAATCTGCTGTACAAGTCACTTCAGCACTTTTTAAAAACCATTATGGAAACATGACACTTACAAAAAGGAAAAAAGAACTACATGATTTCATTTATGTAGACAATTTTAATGAAATTAACCGCAATTTGAGTGTATAGTCAGAAACTGGACAATGTTTGATAGAAAAGAAAATCCTATGTAGCAGAAAGTTTAAGAATCCATTCAGCAAGAAAACCAAATGAAATACACTTCTTTAATAGTTCCATCCAGAAGAACACACTAAAGAACTTCTTCTACCAGATTTTGGTCCATGTTGTAGTTTACGCTGGCATGTGGGAAACATATTGTCTACGACCGAGTATATTTGCCCCAGATGTGCAACATAAATACAGATGCAATAAAGAGGAGACTCATAACAAGAACTGGAACAGGGCCCCTGGAAGGAAGAGAAAACAAGAAACTTATCAACATTAAAAATCTCCTTTTTATAATACTATGCATTTTCAAATTGTTTACTTAAGGTTTTCATAATGATTTTCTGCCCAATATACACCTAAAGTAGCTAACAATACAAAAGCAAAACAGTGCAATACAATGAAACAGTACTTAATGATAATGCATATTGAGGTAAAATAATTCAGTATCTCAAAATGTGATGACAGTTACAAGTGTTAGGCCCCTTCTACAATGCCATATAATTCAAATTATCAAATGAGGTAATCCACATTAATAATAATAATAATAATAATAATAATAATAATAATAATAATAAACCTTTATTTATACCCTGCTACCATTCCCGCAGGACTCGGTGCGGCTTACAAGAGGCCGAGCCCAAAGTACATCATCAACAAAAACACAACAGACAACAATACAATGCAACAATACATAAGCAAACAATAAAACAGTAACAAAAGCACGACACTGTTAAAATCCTGTGGCAGGGCCAAATGTAATAGTTAAAATTCTAAAAATGCTGGGCATGTCCAGGTGAGGTAGACTGGATATTTTGGGAATAGAAAGGTGTGCAGACAATTCTAACTCTCTCATAAAGTGCATTAGGGACAATTGCTTGGGATTCCTTAATCTGGGAAGGTACACTGGAACATCCATGTTTTCAAGCTCCTTCTGAAGACTGCCAATGTTGGGGAATGCCTGATATCCTTGGGGAGGGAGTTCCAGAGTCGTGGGGCCACCGCCGAGAAGGCCCTGTCCCTCGTCCCCACCAATCGCGCTTGCAATGCTGGTGGGATCGTGAGCAGGGCCTCACCAGATGAACAAAGGGATCATGTGGGTTCGTATACGGAAATGCGGTCACGCAGGTAGGTGGGTTCCAAACCGTTTAGGGCTTTGTAGGTAAGCACCTGCACCTTGAATTGAGCCCGGAAAATGAACGGCAGCCAATGGAGCTCCTTGAACAGGAGGGTTGACCTCTCCCTGTAAGGAGCACCAGTTAACAGCCTGGCAGCCGCCTGCTGAACCAACTGAAATTTCCGGGCCGTCTTCAAGGGCAGCCCCATGTAGAGTGCATTACAGTAGTCGATTCTGGAGGTGACTAAGGCATGGACCATCCTGGCTAGATCCGCCTTCACGAGATACATTATTTACTTTGAACTGGATTATATGAGTCTACACTGCCAGATCCAGATTAAAGCAGATAATCTGGATTTTATATGGCAGTGTAAAAGGGACCTTAGATTAAATTAAAAAAAAATAGAATGCCATGGCAGATAAATCTTTTCCCTAAGGTGAAAGTGCTTTTTAGGGGGCAACTGAGAGAGAGAAGTTAGGGCAACCACGGGACTGCATGCAGCCAGAAAATCAAGCATTCCTGATGTAAGGACAAAGAGTTTCAAAGCTGAGGGGCTGATAGCAAAGATTTATCCCTAATACCTGCCAGCCTCATAGTCTCACTTGTAGGCCAAAACAGGCATTTTAACTGTATCCTTAGTATTAGCCAAGCTCATGTAGGTGGCACACCAAATGAGAGTCACAAACCACACTGAATATAGTCCGGAAGTAAACATATAATGTAGACTGATGCATAGCAGCTATGTGATTCAGACTCCTACAATCATTCCATAGGGACCCACAATGAAAAAGAGGTGAAAACAAAGCAAACAACACAGTTCTAAAGCACAACAGAGGATTTCTGAAATTTTTGAGGGAATTTGGGATCTTTGTATCCCTACTTCTGTTCTACTAGCAATTTGCACATTTCCCACAAACTGCACTGCAATAATCTGACGTGAACATAGCTAATGCAGTGGTTTGATAGCATCATGGCTGTAGAAACTTTTTTCTGATTAAAACACCCTTAATAATAATAATAATAATAATAATAATAATAATAACAACAACAACAACACTTTATTTATACCCCGCTACCATCTCCCCAAGGGACTCGGTGCGGCTTACATGAGGCCGAGCCCAAATACAACAGTACAAGCAATAATAACAACAACAGTACAAGCAATTAAATCAAAAACATAGACAATAAAATATACAACATTATCAATAAGACAACACACAATTAAAAACAGTGGGAAGGCCAAATGTAAAGTTAAATTGGGGAATAATGCTGGGACATGGACGAAAAGGTGATAGTGGCGTTTGTGGAAGGGCGTACAAGCAGACCTAAAAATATAAATTCAACTTGGGGACTGCCCTCTACATAGTTTAATGTAAAATATCTAAATATTTTACATAAAACTATGTAGAGGGCAATCCCTAAGTTACAAACAAGATAGGTTCTATAGGTTTGTTCTTAAGTTGAATTTATATGTAAGTTGGAACATATACATTTTAAGTGTTAACTCCAGCCAAAAATATGTATATTATATGAGCTTTGGATAGAATAGGCCAGAGTTAACCACCAGGCAAACTACCTTATTCATCCATCTCATCCAGGGTTTTTATATTCTATATTTTATTCTACTTCTTATAACTTGGCCCAGCCCACTGTGTTCATTTTTGTTTTCTTATTTCATTTTTTGTATTTGATTTTGTATTAAGTTGTTTTGTTTACATTTCATTTGACATTTTTCCATTTTGTATTAAGTGAAATATTTCTATGAAGGAACATCTTGTACTGTAAAGTTCAGGTGTATTTTACTCAGCACTATGGTAGTCCATTTCAAAAAGTTCAGTGAAGGCACTCAAATCAGGAAGTTTTAACATAGAAAGCAAAAGTGTGAAAACAAATGTCAAAAAATCAGCAAAAAGCATCGAGCCACAAAATTTACCTGAGAAAACTGAAAAGTAGATGACAGGCAGAAACAAGAAATTACCTTCCCTGTTGGTTGGAGTTGGGTAGAGAGAAAATATAAAACTCAAGAGACAGAAATTCAGAAACAGAGGAAGGGAAATAAATATACTAGATGCTGAGCTTCTAGTAAAAACTAGCTAGTTCCTGCAAGCCTAAAAGATGTCCACCTCAATGTAATTCTTAAAGAAAACAACCAGAAATGCCAACAAAATGGGCCCCTACTGCTGACTTATTTTATACTTACACTTTGAGGCCAGGGGAATCCTCTGTATAGAATCTCCACATTCCTCCAGTGCCTGCAGAAGTGGTACGGCCTGCACTCCTTGTTCCACAGCTGGCATTTTTTCTACAAAAGGAAATCAGTAATTCAAATTCAACAATGGTCAAGCATATAAAGCTTTCCTCGCCATATTCTTGACTTGTTCGACTGTAAGATTTTAAAAACAAATGTAGAGTCATGCCAGTTAATTTAGGAAGTCATTATGGCCTCATCTACCCTGACCGTTTAATGCAGTTTCAAACTGATATTGATGAAAGCACTTTGCTGTGTGAAAATCCTGGAACCAGTTTAAGGCCTGGATGACTGGCAAAAACTCGACCCCACAATGCTAGACATATGGTCACAAATAAATGCAGCCTGGTTGAAATGGTAGCAAACTACTGGCATTCTGTGTGATTCAAAATTGCCTGAACAACTCAAGGCTAAGATCTACACTACAGTTGTTCGCCAAGTAGCCCTCTATGGGGCAGAGTGCTAACATGAACAAGCCCTTAAGACAATGGAAAAGGAATGCCGAGATGGACACTTGGCTTCACACTTCTTGACCATGTGCCAAATGATGACAACCGTCAAAGACTAGGAATAAAAGTGATTAGCAAGGAAATGCAGGAAGCAAGACTACAGTAGTACAGCCATGTAATGAGAAAAGAACCAACATCAGTAGCACAAACAGAACTTCATTTGGAGATTGCAGGACGAAAACTACATAGACAGCCAAAGAAAACATGGATGGACACAATCAACGATGTCATGCATGCTACCAACCCGAGAATGCCCAAGAAAAAGGCGTTTTGAAACAACAGTTACAATGCTAACCCCTCCATTGGGAAAATATTTATTTATTTATTTACTGTATATTTAATTGTATTAATTTTCCGGTTAAATATGCTTTTAGTGTGTCCCAAATTATATTTAGAGGCATTCCTTCTGTTTCATTTATCTTGAAGAATTTTTTAATTTCTTTCAAATTTTCAAATGTGGCAATCACAAGTGTTCATTTAAGACACAAATGAAGACCCTTCTCTTCTGCAGGCCTACCTACAGTTTTAATGACAAATTTTACATTTCAATTTTATGTGTGATTTTTGTTTGTGTATTTTGATATGTAAGTGCATGTAAATATGTTTTAATATTTGTATCTTACAGAGTGTTTTTGTGAGCATGTGTTTTGATTGTGTTTTAATGATGTTGTAACCTACCTCGAGCCGTGAGAAGAGGTGGGTAGGAAATAACATCATCATTATTATTATTACTATTACTATTATTATGACATCCCTTTTCAACCTTCTCTTCTGCAGGCTAAACATATCCAGCTACCTAAGCCATTCCTCATAGGTTTGGTTTCCAAAAACTGTTATCATTTTGGTCATTCTAGGCCCTTTCCACAAAGCTGTATAAAATCCACATTGAACCCAATTATATGGCAATGTGGACACAGATAACCCAGTTCAAAGCAGATATTGTGGATTGTCTGCCTTGATATTCTGGGTCATACAGATGTGTGGAAAGGCCCCTAGCTTCAAACTGCATTCAATGAGAGCATACATAAATTGTAAAAGTCTGACAGACTAAACAGTGCCTCATGGCCCTTCCAGAGTGGCCCTATACCCCAGGACCCGAACCCAGGTTTTCTGCTTTAAACTGGATTATATAAGTCTGCACTGCCAGATAATCTGGGATAAAAAGAAAACCTGGGATTAGATCTTGGAATATAGGGCCTGTAAGGAAGGGCCCTAAGCCTCTGCTCTGGGTTGGCCTCATCATCAGGAAAATGACCAGGTTTGCTTTGGTTTTGGTGGTGTCTTTCTAGGTCTTCCACAGTTGACTTGTGAAAGCAGCTGCTCCGCTCCCTCGCCTACCTCTGCCGGACTGTGGAGCCCGCGGCTCTTGGAGCAACCGCCTTGCTCGGGGAGCGGCCAGAGGCGCCCACATTGGTTGCACTGGGGTTCGGGCCCGGCTGAAAAACAAAATAATAACAACACATAATGATTATAATAAACTTTATTTGTATTCCACCCTAACTCCCTGTGGGAACTCAGGGCGCTTTCCAACAAAACAGGCAAAGATTCAATGCCTATAAAACAGAAATAATAATAACCTTTATTTATATCCCACCCTCTCTCCCCAGAGGGACTTGGAGCAGCTTACAACAAAACAAACACAATAAATGATGTAACACAGACAATGATCACATATCAAAACAAAATAGTACAATAATATAAACATAACTAAATAAACAATTCAAAAGACTATAAGACCCTCTAAAACCAGTATATAAAGCCATTTTAAAAAAGACATTCCTATGATCAGAGTATCTAGGCTATAAATCAGGGGTCCTCAAACTAAGGCCTGGGTGCCAGATACAGCCCTCCAAGGTCAACCCTCACTCAGGGTCAGCCTAAGTCTGAAACGACTTGAAAGCACACAACAACAGCAACAACCCTATCTCATTAGCCAAAAGCAGGCCCACACTTCCCATTGGAATACTAGTAAGTTTATATTGGTTAAAATTGTTCTTCATTTTAATTACTGTATTTAAGTGTTTTTGAACTACAAATAAGATGTGTGCAGTGTGCAAAAGAATTCATTTTTTTTCAAATTATAATCCAACCCTCCAACAGTTTGAGGGACTGTGATCTGGCCTTCTGTTTAAAAAGTTTGAGGACCCCTGCTATAAATTATAGCTCTAATAACCATTTAAAATCCTGTCCAATAGGGCGGTTGATACTTTAGCCCAGGCATGGGCAAACTTCAACCTTCCATGTGTTTCGACAGTCTACCGGATGTTAGGAATTATGGGAGTTGAAGTCCAAAACAGCTGGAGCGGCAAAGTTCACCCAGGCCTGCTTTGTTGTTTATTTGTTCAATCGTTTCAGAGTATTCGTGACTATTCTTGTTTGGGCTTGGCCCCATGTAAGCCGCTCCGAGTCTCCATTGGGGAGATGGTGGCGGGGTATAAATAAAGTTTATTATTATTATTATGTTCTAGAACAGTGGTTCTCAACCTGGCCTACAAACGTTTTTGGCCTACAACTCCCAGAAATCCCAGCTAGTTTACCAGCTGTTAGGATTTCTGGGAGTTGTAGGCCAAAAACATCTGGGGACCCCAGGTTGAGAACCACTGTACTAGAAGCATTATCTCCTGATGTTTTGCCTGCATCTAACACCTAACACCCCAATGTATGTCCTTCACTCCAAAAAATTGATTATGTCATTTGGGAGTTGTAGTTGCTGGGATTTATAGTTCACCTACAATCAAAGAGCATTCTGAACACCACCAATGATGGAGTTGAACCAAACTTGGTACACAGTTCTCCCATAACCAACAGAAAATACTGGAAGGGATTGATGGGCAGTGTCCTTTGGTTTTGGAGTTGTAGTTCACCTACATCTAGAGAGCACTGGACACAAACAGTGATGGATCTGGACTCTACACGAATACTCAATATGCCCCAATGTGAACACTGGTGGAGTTTGGGGAAAATAGAATCTTGACATTTGGGAGTTGAAGTTGCTGAAATTTATATTGCGAAGGCTGATCTGGCCGGGGTGGTCCATGCCTTGGTCACCTCTAGATTGGATTACTGCAATGCACTCTACGTAGGGCTGCCCTTGAAAACGGCTCGGAAATTCCAACTGGTCCAACGGGCAGCAGCCAGGATGTTAACCGGGGCTCATTACAGAGAGAGGTCAACCCTCCTGTTCAAGGAGCTCCACTGGCTGCCGCTTATTTTCCGAGCCCAATTTAAGGAGCAGGTGCTTACCTACAAAGCCCTGAACGGTTTGGGACCACCCTACCTGCGTGACCGCATCTCCGTCTACGAACCCACACATTCACTTCGGTCATCTGGAGAGGCCCTGCTCGTGATCCCGCCCGCGTCGCAAGCGTGCTTGGTGGGGTCTCGAGACAGGGCTTTTTCTGTGGTGGCCCCCCGACTCTGGAACGCCCTCCCCAAAGATCTTAGACAGGCCCCTACATCTGCAGTCTTCAGAAAGAACTTGAAGACCTGGCTGTTCCGATGTGCCTTCTCAGATTAGGAACCTCCAATACCAAGCCCTAGAAGCACTTTAGTAGAACTAAGATTGCTGCACACCGCACACTGCACTTACTTTATAATCCTACATACCTCCTGCCACATCAGCACTTTTAATCTTGTACCCATTACTCTGGCCTGGCCCAGTCTTATAGTGTCTCAATGTATTGTTTATTGTTGTTGTTTATTCTGCTTAACTGTTTTTAATTTGCTTTAGGTATTGTGTTTTGAGGCCTGGCCTATGTAAGCCGCATCGAGTCCTTCGGGAGATGGTAGCGGGGTACAAATAAAGTTATAATAATAATAATAATAATAGTTCACCTACAGTCACAGAGCATTCTGAACCCCACCAACGATGGAGTTGAACCAAATCCCCCACACAGAACCCCCATGTGGGCCAAAGCAATGCGTAGCAGGGGACGGCTAGTAAAACATAAAACACTATCATTATACAACAAATCATACAACTAATGAAAATACGCAATTTAGATCCGATTAAAACAATAGCAAAGCCAGCCTGGGCAGTTTGGGAATCATAGAATCAAAGAGTTGGAAGAGATCTCATGGGCCATCCAGTCCAACCCCTGCCAAGAAGCAGGAATATTGCATTCAAAGCACCCCTGACAGATGGCCATCCAGCCTCTGTTTAATTCCTATTGGAGTCCAAGGAAGCTCTCTGAAGTCAGGTCTATTGCCAATAATGGACTGAATGAGGGCAAACAAACTGAAACTTAATCCCCCTGACAGATGGCCATCCAGCCTCTGTTTAAAAGCTTCCAAAGAAAAATAGAATCTTGACATTTGGGAGTTGTAGTTTCTGGGATTTAAAGTTCACCTACAATCACAGAGCATTCTGAACCCCACCAACGATGGAGTTGAACCAAACCCCCCACACAGAACCCCCATGTGGGCCACAGCAACGCGTGGCAGGGGACGGCTAGTAAAACATAAAAGAACACTATCATTATACAACAAATCATACAACTAATGAAAATACGCAATTTAGATCCGATTAAAACAATAGCAAAGCCAGCCTGGGCAGTTTGGGAATCATAGAATCATAGAATCAAAGAGTTGGAAGAGACCTCATGGGCCATCCAGTCCAACCCCTGCCAAGAAGCAGGAATATTGCATTCAAATCATCCCTGAAAGACCCTCGGCCCAGGCCCGGCTCTCCTCGCCTACCATGGCAATCCCTCCTGCTGTCCTTCCTCTCACAGACTACGCGACACGTCTCAGTCGCCCAAACAGGGGAAGAGAGGTCCTCACTCTGCCACAGGACCCCAAAATGCAGCTGACTATTGCAGTGCCCGGCTCCAAGGGGGACTTCCGTTCTTACATCCGAAATTGGGAGTGGACAAAGCGACAGAAAACAGGCATTGCTTTAGCCACCCCAAGCCGAGGCACCTCGCTAATACTGACGTGGCGGAGAGAAGGGCGCATGCGCAGTGGAGCCGCGCCACGTGAGGCGGAAGCGGAGGCTAAAGATGGCGGCGGAGACTCGAGAGAGGGAAGAGCAGGGCGGGCCGGCCGTGTTCTTCCTGCACCCGGACTTGGGCATTGGGGGCGCCGAGCGGCTGATTGTGGACGCGGCGGTCGCGCTGCGTTCGCGAGGCTGCCGCGTGCAGATCTGGACGCCGCGCTTCGACCCCTCGCGCTGCTTCTCGGAGGCGCTTCAGCTGGACGTGCGGACGGCCGGGGGCTGGCTGCCGCGGAGCATCCTGGGAAGGGGCCACGCGCTCTGCGCCGCGCTCCGCATGGTCTGCCTCGCGCTGCACGTGCTGCTCCTCAGCGGAGAGGCGCCCGACGCCTTCGTCTGCGACCAGGTGAGCAGGGAGGATCATAGAATCAAAGAGTTGGAAGAGACCTCATGGGCCATCCAGTCCAACCCCCTGCCAAGAAGCAGGAATATTGCATTCAAAGCACCCCTGACAGATGGCCATCCAGCCTCTGCTTAAAAGCTTCCAAAGAAGGAGCCTCTACCACACTCCGAGGCAGAGAGTTCCACTGCTGAACAGCTCTCACAGTCAGGAAGTTCTTCCTTATGTTCAGACGGAATCTCCTCTTGTAGTTTGGAGCCATTGTTTCGCGTCCTAATCTCCAGGGAAGCAGAAAACAAGCTTGCTCCCTCCTCCCTGTGGCTTCCTCTCACATATTTATACATGGCTATCATATCTCCTCTCAGCCTTCTCTTCTTCAGGCTAAACATGCCCAGCTCCTTAAGCCGCTCCTCATAGGGCTTGTTCAGACCCTTGCTTCAAGCTAGCTTCAAACTGTACTGGCCAGACAGACTCTCACAAAAATCATCTGCATGGGGAAACCACTTTCTTTAATGCCTGTTAGAAACTGCATTAAATGGTGAGTGTGGATGGGGTCTAAGAGGGTGTAACCCTCAGACTAGAACAGGCCTGCACAACCTGAGGCTTTGCAGGTGTTTGGGAATCCAAGTCCCTGAAGCCCTGGCCAGTTTGTCCAATGATCAGGAATTCTGGGAGCTGAAGTCCAAAATGCCTGGAGGGCTGCAGGTTATGCAGGCCTGGACTAAAGCAAATAATACAAATCAACCATCCCTGAACGGTTTGGGACCCGCCTACCTGCGTGATCACATCTCTATTTACGAACCCACGCGATCCCTTCGATCATCCGGAGAAACCCTGCTCTCGATCCCACCAGCATCGCAGGCGCGTTTGGTGGGGACGAGAGAGGGCCTTTTCGGTGGTGGCCCCTCGACTCTGGAACTTACTCCCTAAAGACATCAGACAGGCCCCAACTTTGGCAGTCTTCAGGAGGAACTTGAAGACGTGGCTGTTCCAGTGTGCCTTCCCGGAATAATGATCCCGTAGCACTTTGTCCTCCAAAGCACTTTACATTTCTTTAAGTCTGTTTGTATGCCCCTCCACAAACACCAGTATCACCTTCCGTCATGTCCCAGCATTGTTTCCAATTTTAACTCTACATTTGGCCTTCCCACTGTTTTTAATTATGTGCTGTTTTATTGATAATGTTGTGTATCTTATTGTCTATGTGTTTTTAATTGCTTGTACTGTGTTGTTATTGCTTGTATTGTTGTGTTTGGGCTCGGCCTCATGTAAGCCGCACCGAGTCCCTTGGGGAGATGGTAGCGGGGTACAAATAAAGTGTTATTATTATTAACCAGGTATAAAATCACAGTCCTCTTCTTCATGGGAGTTGTTTTCATTCATTCGTTGGTTTTTGTGTTTCTCCAGGTGTCTGCCTGCATTCCAGTCCTCCGCCTTTTCCGGACCCGCAAAAAGGTTTTGTTTTACTGTCACTTTCCTGATCAGCTCCTAACAAAGAGGGAATCTTTTATTAAGCGTCTCTATAGAGCGCCATTGGATTGGTTGGAGGAGTATACAACTGGCCTGGCGGACTGTATTCTGGTCAACAGTTGTTTCACAGCAAGCATTTTCAAAGAAACCTTCAAATCATTGTCTCATTTGAATCCAGATGTCTTATATCCTTCCTTGAATTTCAGTAAATTTGATACCGTTGTTTCATCCGACGTAGCTAGCATAGTTTGCAAAAGGAGATTCCTGTTTCTTTCCATCAACAGGTATGAAAGAAAGAAAAACCTAATATTGGCTTTGGAGGCCTTGCATGAACTTCGTAGTAGACTTGATGCTCACGAATGGAGTGAAACTCATCTGGTTTTAGCTGGTGGATATGATGAAGCAGTTCAGGAAAATGTGGACTATTATGAAGAATTGAAAGCTGTTGCTGCTAAACTTCATGTTGAAGAGCAGGTCACATTCTTGCGATCATTCTCTGATGAACAGAAAATTGCTCTTCTTAGTAGCTGTATTTGTGTGCTGTATACACCAAGTAATGAACATTTCGGCATTGTTCCTTTAGAAGCAATGTACATGAAATGCCCGGTCATTGCAGTAAATTCCGGGGGACCTTTGGAATCCATTGTAAACAATCAGACCGGTTTCTTGTGTGAGCCTCTTCCAACCCAGTTTGCAGAAGCCATGGAGAAATTTGTGAAGATTCCTGCTTTAAAGAGAACAATGGGAGCTGCAGGAAGAACCAGAGTTCTGGAAAGGTTTTCCTCAGAAGCATTCACTGAAAAGCTATATCAGTATATTCATAGTTTAATGCAATAAAAATTAAGGTATTATGTAATGTTGGTCTGTAATGTCTAATTTTAATAGTCTGAGCTAAACACTGTGAATGGTTTAAACTGGACGTACTTTCACTGACTACAGTGTTCCCTCACTTATTGGGGGGTTCCGTTTTAGGACCACTCGCAATAAGTGATAATCCGCGAAGTAGGGGCGCTATATTAATTATAATATTTATATAGCCAAAACATGTATACAGCCAAAAATTGGGCCAAAGGCCCAAACAAACCCACTTCCAGCCACTAGAGAAACCATTGCCGGACACAGGGAAGGCACGCTGCAGCCCTTTTGAAGGCTCCTGAGGGTGGCCAGCCCAGCCAATCGAGAGAGAGCAGGGTCCGTCCCCCATTGACTGGCTACTCCACTGGAATTTTTCCCGCTGCCGAGGGGGCAGCTGGGAAGAACCCCCCTCTGACACCTTTACGATGGAAAAAAGGCAAGGCGGGAGGCAGGGAAGGCGAGGAGGAGGAGGAGGATGGATGTGGGGGTGCTGGTCTCACCTCGGGCCGCGCAGGGAGAACCTCAGGGGCCGCGCAGGAAAAACACGAAATAGCGAGTCTGCAGTAAGCGAACCGCGAAGCGGCGAGGGAACACTGTACACCTGTGTGAATTATTTGACCAAATCCCATTCTGCATGTAATGAAATACTTGAATAACATACTTGAATGGTTTTATGAAATTTGGATAATTTTGTTTACATGATTTGTTGAAAAGAAATAAAAAGATTAAAATGTTTGCCTTGTGAAGCCTGCCATACATTATTTCACTTCACTTCACCTTATTTCTTAATTAGTCGCTCTCCACCAAGGTGCTCCGAGCGACTTACAATCTAAAATAGCATTTACACAATATAAAAAACATTCAACATAAAAACATTCAACAGTGACTATTTGGCAAATTAGAATCTGRTTACTTAAATGCACAACCAAACAGCCAAGTCTTGAGYGCCTTTACAAAAGGTYGCAACTCCRACATTGCTCTAATGTATGGAGGCAATGAGTTCCACAGAATTGGAGCATAGGTCGAAAAAGCTCTACACCTTGTAGCTTCCAGGTGTACCTCCCTAGGGCCCGGTATGTATAGCAGATTTTTCCTGGGTGGGTCGAGGTGACYACTGATAGAGAAAAGGAATGAGGCAGTCCCTGAGATATAAAGGTCCTTGGCCATTTTGAGCTCTAAATGTCAGGATCAGTATCTTGTAAGAGATCCGACGTTCTRTTGGTAGCCAATGCAGTTGTTGCAGAATCGGTGTAATATGGGATCTTRTAGATCAGTGGTTCTCAACCTGGGGGTCCTCAGATGTTTTTGGCCTACAACTCCCAGAAATCCCAGACAGTTTTTCAGCTGTTAGGATTTCTGGGAGTTGAAGGCCAAAAACATCTGSGGATCCCAGGTTGAGAACCACTGTTATAGATGATCCCACTAGCAGCCTGGCCGCTGCATTTTGGACCATCCGAATCTTTTGGGTTGTTGACTTTGGAAGGCTGGCATATAAGGCGTTGCAATAGTCCAACCTCGTGGTGACTGTTGCGTGGATTACTGTTGCCAATGCTTCTACCGAAAGGTAGGATGCCAATTTCCTTGCCTGGCAAAGATGAAAAAAGGCCTGCTTACTTATGGCAGTGATCTGGGCCTCCATCATCAGTGATGAGTCCAACACAACCCCAAGGTTTTTAACAGTGGCAGATGGAACCAAAGCTTCCCCATCGAAATCAGGCAGAGACTGAATTAATTCTGGCGGCTGGCCGGGCTAGAGTATCAGTTTTTGCAGGATTCACTTTTAGTCTGCTCGCTTGCAGCCAACTCATCACTGCTTCCAAACACAGCTTAAAGTTCTCAAGAATCGCGGTTGTCCCAGGTTCGAGATGCAAGAGTAGCTGGGTATCATCTGCATACTGGTAGCACTCTGCCAAAGCTCAGCACTAGTCCAGCAAGTGGCCAGATGTAGATGTTAAATAACAGGGATGAGAGGATAGCACCCTGGGGAACTCCACAGCAAAGGCAGGAGCTCTCAGAGCTTTGGCCTGACCACTCCAACCTCTGTCTCCGGTCTTGAAACTGGTGTAATACAGCTTCCTCCAGTAATATCACATGTAGTAACCAATAGATACCCATAAAACTAATTTTCTTAAAAGGCCTTTATTCTAGTAGAGTTCAGGAACTCCTTATATCCGTATAAGTCGCTAGTTCAGATCTCATTCTGTATAGCAGTCTAGCTATAGACTGAGACAGAAATGCATTTTAATGAAGCTTGCTTTGAATTAACTCTTGATTGGAGTAAGCATAACACAGGCAAATTCTTTTCAGTTTCATTTCGGTTTTGTGATTCAAAGACTTTGTCATTTAGCACAAGAGTAGTCACATTGGTACTTTATTGAACACCCTCATCAGATTGGTGAAAATAAACTGAAGTATTGATATGATCTAATAAAGTGAGCTTCAGTATTTTGCTTACTTTTTTGCCTTTATTCACGCTACTACTGCTTCCAAGCAACAGCCCTGTGTTTCCATTGTCTCTCTGGTGTCCCCAAAGTACATTATTTTTTCCTGACATGTTATCATCAAAATCATTTCTATATCAAGTTCAGATTAGAAACAGACAAGAGAGGGATGGAAAGTCTCCAAATTCACAGACTGAAATAAAATTGTTGGGGAGGAACTGCATTCCATTAGTATAAGGCCAAAGGCAAACATTTGGGACCAAAAAGGCCAGCAAATTTTAATTTGAAATTCTGATTGTCAGTACTTACTGTAACTCTTAGGAACGACATTTCCGTTTTTTAGAAAGGGACAAATGAGTACAAAATCCTTTTCCATAAAAATGCTATTAGACATTAAGAAGTCCCGGTCTCCTCCCGAACACAAACACGTGGTTATAGAAATGCGTAATATTCCAAATGCAAGAGACAGCAATATGGTAATTATGATGTTGCTGCCTAAATATTCTCTCTGAATATTTAGGCAGCAACATCAGTTCACAAAAGAACATGTCCATAAAGTTTACCAACCTAACAATTTCTTTACAGTTCACATAGGGACATATTGACCAAGGTATTAGAACTCCTTTGGCAAGTCTTAATTCTGGGGCCAAGTACTTAGAATCATAGAATCAAAGAGTTGGAAGAGACCTCATGGGCCATCCAGTCCAACCCCCTGCCAAGAAGCAGGAATATTGAATTTAAATCACCCCTGACAGATGGCCATCCAGCCTCTGTTTAAAAGCTTCCAAAGAAGGAGCCTCCACCACACTCCGGGGCAGAGAGTTCCACTGCTGAACGGCTCTCACAGTCAGGAAGTTCTTCCTCATGTTCAGATGGAATCTCCTCTCTTGTAGTTTGAAGCCATTGCTTCGCGTCCTAGTCTCCAGGGAAGCAGAAAACAAGCTTGCTCCCTCCTCCCTGTGGCTTCCTCTCACATATTTATACATGGCTATCATATCTCCTCTCAGCCTTCTCTTCTTCAGGATAAACATGCCCAGCTCCTTAAGCCGTTCCTCATAGGGCTTGTTCTCCAGACCTTTGATCATTTTAGTCGCCCTCCTCTGGACACATTCCAGCTTGTCAATATCTCTCTTGCAATTGTGGTGCCCAGAATTGGACACAATATTCCAGGTGTGGTCTAACCAAAGCAGAATAGAGGGGTAGCATTACTTCCCTAGATCTAGACACTAGGCTCCTATTGATGCAGGCCAAAATCCCATTGGCTTTTTTTGCTGCCACATCACGTTGTTGGCTCATGTTTAACTTGTTGTCCACGAGGACTCCAAGATCTTTTTCACACGTACTGCTCTCGAGCCAGGCATTGTCCCCCATTCTGTATCTTTGCATTTCGTTTTTTCTGCCTAAGTGGAGTATCTTGCATTTGTCCCTGTTGAACTTCATTTTGTTAGTTTTGGCCCATCTCTCTAATCTGTCAAGATCGTTTTGAATCCTGCTCCTGTCCTCTGGAGTATTGGCTATCCTCCCAATTTGGTGTCATCTGCAAACTTGATGATCCTGCCTTCTAACCCTTCATCTAAGTCATTAATAAAGATGTTGAACAGGACCGGGCCCAGGACGGAACCCTGCGGCACTCCACTTGTCACTTCTTTCCAGGATGAAGAGGAAGCATTGGTGAGCACCCTCTGGGTTCGTCCATTTAACCAATTACAGATCCACCTCACCGTAGTTTTGCCTAGCCCACATTGGACTAGTTTCCTTGCCAGAAGGTCATGGGGGACCTTGTCGAAGGCCTTACTGAAATCCAGGTACGCTACATCCACGGCATTTCCCGCATCTACCCAGCTTGTAACTCTATCGAAAAAAGAGATCAGATTAGTCTGGCATGACTTGTTTTTGATAACCATGACTCACAACCACAATGTCAGACTACACAGAGAAGCCATTGAAATCCACAAGCATGTGGACAATTTCAACAGAAAGGAAGAAACCATGAAAATGAACAAAATCTGGCTACCAATATTAAAAAAAACTCAAAAATTACAGCAGCAAAACAACAGAGGGGAAACAAACAGGCACATGAAATCACTCTCAACAAAAGATTCCCCCCAGGCGCTTCCAAGCCATTGAATGCAAATCAAGGTGATCAGCTGAAACATTCACAGCTAGCCCCAGCAGACAAGTCCTTTGTCTCACCCTGGTCATTCCACAGATATATAAACCCATTTTTCCTACTTCCAACAGACCTCACTACCTCTGAGGATGCTTGCCATAGATGCAGGCGAAACGTCAGGAGAAAAACTGCCTCCAGAACATTTATTTTATTTATTTACTGCATTTGTTGACCGCCGTTCTCAGCTCTAGGGCGACTCACGGCGGTGTACAACACATAAAAACAGTTTACAATAGGCAATATCACAACAAAATCAACATAACAACATAACTATCAATAATACAATTACACTAAATCATCCGCGCCGTCTCATCGTAGAATCATAAACCAAACTCGTTATCCATATTCCGTTCCGATCGTCATTGCCAATTGTTGTAGCACTTAGTCAAACGCCTTCTCAAATAACCATGTCTTTAGGCTCTTACGGAATGCCATCAGGGAGGGCGCCTGTCTGATATCTACAGGGAGGGCGTTCCACAGCCGGGGGGCCACCACCGAGAAGGCCCTATCTCTCGTCCCCGCCAGGCGTGCCTGTGAGGCAGGCGGGATCGAGAGAAGGGCCTCCCCAGACGATCTCAAGGTCCTCGTGGGCTCATAGGCCGAGATGCGGTCAGAAGGTATTTTGGGCCGGAACCGTTTAGGGCTTTGTAGGCCAGCACCAGCACCTTGAATTGGGCCCGGTAGCAGATCGGCAGCCAGTGGAGCTGGAACAACAAGGGCGTTGTGTGCTCCCTGCGTCCCGCTCCTGTTAGTAACATGGCTGCCGCGCGCTGGACTAGCTGAAGCTTCCGGGCCGTTTTCAAGGGCAGCCCCACGTAGAGAGCGTTGCAGTAGTCAAGGCGGGATGTGACCAGAGCGTGTACTACCGTGGCCAAGTCAGACTTCCCGAGGTACGGGCGCAGCTGGCGCACGAGCCTGAGCTGTGCAAATGCTCCCCTGGTCACCGCTGAAACCTGGGGATCCAGGCTCAACGATGAATCCAGGATCACACCCAAGCTGCGAACCTGTGCCTTCAAGGGGAGTGCGACCCCATCCAGCACAGGCTGTAACCCTATACCCTGTTCGGCCTTGCGACTGACCAGGAGTACCTCTGTCTTGTCTGGATTTAATTTCAATTTGTTCGC